GCTCCCCGCCGAAGTTCTGAAAGTGACGGGGAAAAAGCATAGAAATCGCAATGGACAAAAGCATCTACATTCCCCAGAATCTCACAAGCCTTCCATACGGATGGATGGACAAGCGACCTGCAATCCACAATCTGCCGATGGACAAGCGACCTGGGCGAGTACGGGACCGCGGAGGTCCTCAAAGTAATCGACGGTGCACATCCTACAACCATTGTGTAGACACTCCACACCCAACTCATTTTCAATAATGAATACCAATCCATTGAAGTAGATATACACCAATACCATAATGTAAACACTACCAATAAAACATATGCACCACTACCAAAACAACTAGCACCGGAATATCATTTCTACCCTTAGTAGCCAAGGTGATTACTACTGTAACACCTTAGGCAAATCCCACATCGACAAAGCACGGGAGAGATCCATGGTTCATAAGTAGGAAACCGGCCTTAACTGACAAGACGCGTTTTGGGGTGTAACGGAGGAGTTCTTGTGAGAACTCCGAAGTTAAACGTGCTCAGTGTGGAGTACAACAAGGATGGGTGACCTTATGGGAAGTCACCCTGAATTGCACCCCAAGTCGAAAACCGTGCGGGTGTAGAGGCCCAAAGCGGACAGTATCTTGTCGGGAAAAGGTACGGGATGTTACAACTACTCTGTAGCAATTACTGTAACCGCTCACTCGCTATGTGTGTTCGTTTTGCAGGTGGGCTATGTGAGTAAGCAATGGAAGAGTGAGGATTGGGGTGCGTTACAGTAATAGTTAGGGTATTAGTTTGTTCGATTGCGGTTTAACCACAACAAGGAGGGGGTAGGAGGCGAGGCTTCAATCTCGATGTGGGATGGAGGTGGGGCGACGTCTTGTCCCATCCACGGTTATTGCGGGCAACCGAGTAGGGATCGGTTATTCACCGCTAACCGCACAGTTAGCCACAACACATGAATCCCTATAACCGCCATCGCCAACCGCAACAATTAAATGGTTAATGGTTGACCGTTTAACCATGTTTTTTGGGTTAGTTTTGCGATTAGCCGGTTAACCGCCAACCGTTTGACAGCCTAGTAACATTGGTTTAGCAGTGGTTCAGCCGACAGATGGCCCACCTCGTCAACGTGCCTGTTTATACAGGCCTATAGGTTTGGGTTATGTTTGTTATTTCGTATGAGGCTTCTGACACTTTTTAGTTTTATCCACGAAGCGGTGAGGTTGCTTCTATGTTGAGGGTCTTGGCGAGGTTACCAACCCAGCAAAATGAGTTTGCTGCAATGCATTCAGCTTCAATGAGCAGTGAGCTCGATCTATGACTTTGTGCCTCCAAAAGGTAGAGGTTAAGTTATGGATTATGATTATTTCCGAAAAGGTACATAGGGTTGCCCATATCGTGGCATAAAAGTCATATTATTTCAGACTCGCAAATGTCTTTTACTTGTGATTTCACCTACAAAGATCGTGTATAATGTTACGTATCTACTCTTCCCTTCTGGGAAAATCTATGGAAAAAAAAAGTAATTACAATATAATAGTATAACCTTTCAGTTTAAACAAAATACATTAGCAAATTTACAATGGAAAATCTAACACTACCATTCTGAAACTTCTAGAAGACAGATCTAATCGATTAATCCCCCAGCAGTCCATTTCGTAAGCAAACTAGCTGCCCCTATCAGCAAATCTCAAAATCTACGCTAATCACGTCAAGATCAAACAAACGACAACTAGATCCACCACTAATCAAATACCCAGTAAACCAATCGCCACCGACAGCTCAATAATGCCCACACTGGAGAAATGCTAACATAGAAATCCCCAGAACCAACGGAAAGAGTGAAGAAGAAGAAGGGAGATGAATTACCCCGTTGTCGGATGGCGCGCTGCTTGCGGCGACGGGACGGAAGCGCTGGGGCGATGGTTGACGGCGGCATGGTGGCGCCGCTCTCCCTCTGTCGTCTGTTCTACTTCTAAGTCGAAGATGAAGAAATAAAATGAAAGTTAGGGTTTTGTTTGGCTGCCCCATTCCACGATTGGGTTTTTTTTTAGGGTAAACCAAACGGCCAATAATAGCCAAATCTTTTGAAAAACAAAATAATAGGCAAACTGTTAACTTTTCATCCGATTGACTGTTAGTTGACTCTGACGTGGTACTTTAATTGCTGAGTTGTATAAATCTTGATGACGTGGCAAAAAAAACTTTGTTTGACTGGAATTTTTTTTTTGTAGTTTAATAATTTTAACATTATTATTTATTGATTTTTAAAGCAAGAAAATACAATTAAAAACTCATCAGATCTGAAAAACCCTAACCTCCTCGTCGCCTACATCCCGCCGTCGAGAGCTCCAGGATTAAAAGAAACAACGTGTGAGCTCCATTTACCGAGACTCCATAGCCGTCACCGAGCCCATCTAACCCCTAAACGAATCCCCATCGAAAACTACCATCGCCTATGCTTCGTATGTCACCAAACAAACAACCCTTTCCTTCACCTGAATCCATAGTCGTTGTCGAGCCCAGCTAACCCCTAAACAAAACCCCGCTCAAAGTCAAAACTACCTCCGGTGTCGGTCTGCCCTCCGCCTCTACTGCTGCCAGCTTTTAATCTCGACAGCTGGACGGGTGGGATGGAGGCGATGAGGAGGTTAGGGTTTTTAGATCTAATGAGTTTTTAATTTAATTTTATTGTTTTAATAATTATTAAATAATAATCTTAAAATTATTAAATTACAATAAGGTACATTCAAACAAAAACGTATGGTTTTGATCGGATGAAAAGTTACTAATTTGGCTATTATTTTATTATTCAAAAGATTTAAATATTATTTATTTAAATTAAAAAATTTGACTATTATATTGTATTTTAAAAAAAAACTAAAAGTGGGTTAGTAACTTACACGTAACTACAAGTATAGTTTAAAAAGCACCCGTATGGTTTTCTTTTTTGTAATGTCTATTTTTTATCCAATTTTTTTCAGATTCTTTTATATTATCCAAACTTATCGAAATACTATTAATTATCCAAATCTTTCATAATGCATCAAAATATTAGTCATTTTTACGTTATCGTTAATAATTTTGTAACTCTTTTCTTAGTTAAAATATTAAAATTTTGGAATGTTGACATTCATGAGTTTTTTTCAAGTCAGTATCATGTTTCCAAGTCAATATTACTAACAAAGTATCATGTTTCCCAAACCCGAGTATTTGTTAGGATGTTGGAGGCCCAGTTGATTATCAACCCAAACTTGGTCAAACTAAGAAAACCAGTTGAATTAGGAAATCAAGTTGATTCAACTAACTCATCTAAGCACTGAATCACTTCAAACCGACATCATTTTCAACAAATATAATCACTAGCTCTGTTGACATGTCGTCTTTTTCCTTATCAAAGACCCATGCAGCAACATATATCAACCACCTGTGTTCGGTTATCCCATAATATCTTTTCTCCTTTAGTATCGGCAGACAACAATACAAGTTCCAATCATCGCAAAAGCCAACACAGTTTCTTAGTAGTCAATTCCATTTTCCTTCCAACAGTAAGGTCACATCGCCAATAAACCACATCTCAAACAAAGAATAAGCCACAAAATTAGACGAACATATATTTGGATTGAGACTTGGTGTGATTAACAAAGACCAATGTCTTCATTTGTATATATACATGAAATCGAATTGGAGAAGAAGAGTAAGAACATTGAGAATGGAATATGATATGCAATAAAAAGAAGAAAAGAAAAAACTAGAAAAGGAAATGGAAAAGGATAAAAAGAAAGAGGGAAGAAATTTAGAATTAAAGCGTCATTTTAAAACATCAGCTCCAAGTGAGAGAAAAGTATAAAAATGAAACTCAATTTCAACGAATAAGTTATATTAAATCGTCATTGTATCTAAATTTATTATAGAAATTTCATAAATATCTAAGCATAATACAAGTGAAATCAATAAAATTTCATAAATTTTCAATTCATCCATTAATCATTAACCCACTTGCTTAAACGACTTATTGGTGGAATTGAGTGACAACCTTTGTTATAACAACTTAGATTGAACAAATTTGTTGTATATTTCTTAATGGGTTATAGGTATAATATACTCCTCTATTATATATATATATATCAATTAAGAATTCTATTATTCACTAATGAATGACTCGCTAAATTTTGCTTAGTTTTCATTGAAAGATGAGATGCAATTAATTGATTTATGAGCTCAAATATACCTCCATACCACTAAAGCTATAATCATTGTGATATTTAGTTGTTCACTCACCTCTGCCAATGTTTACAGGTTCATATTTTGCTATGAAATTTAGATAAAAAACTTTAAATCTCACACATTTAAAAGTAGGAGATGGAAACTATGTAAATAAGTGATTGCAAATTTACTATTTTGAAACCCAAAACTGAAGGAATTTAGATCATCTCATTTCACAGTAAATTAAAAAGTCTTATGAAAAAGTGATACATTAGCGTTGGATGTGGTGGTGAATGAACAACTAATGCCAAACGTGGCCTAAAGAATTCCCTCCACTATGAATTGCAAAAAAAAAAAAAACATCCTTCCCAAACCCAATTTATTACCAGTCAAATCATATTTGGTAATATCACTTGAAGATCATACCAATAAATGATTATTTAGTTTGAGTCTAATTAGACCTATTACATTGGCTACAAAAAAAAATATCAACTCTAATGTAATTTTTGCAATTTATTTTTTGTATAACAAACATAAATGTGAAAACACCTATAATGAATATGTGAATTGGTTTAATGCGAATAGCTAGATTGTCGATATTTCTTTATAGGTATAATTATATGGACTCAAATAGATTCAAAACTGTGGATTCGAACCAAATAAATATTTTTCTGCTCCAACTCTCTCCTCCATTCCAAAAATAGTAAATTAAAATAATCCGGCCAACGGGCCGGGTGGCCGGGTCAAAGCTAGTACATATACTAGTATATTACACAAAAATAATAATAATAAATACAGAAGGGGAAAAAAAAAAGTAGAGAAGTTGTTTGGGGTTGATTTCTTTGGCGTCTTTCTCGTCTCTCTCCCTGGTTCTCCCCTCCTGCCTTCTTTCTTCTTTGGCTTATTCATATTTGATTATTTTCTCCATTTTCCAATTAAGCTGCCGTTTTCCCATTCCGTCTTCTTCCCCAGATTATCACTTCATCAGCAACCATTCTATTCTATTGGTTCGTTTCGGGTTTTGTTTCTTTGGGACTTTGGCTGCCTGGCTTCCTTCTGGTTTCTATCTGCCTGCTTCTCCAGTTTTAGCAGAGTCCCCTTGCAGGGAGGAAGAATTTCCCTTCCATTTCCCATCTCTCTCTCTGTCCAATTGGAAAAAGCTGCAATTTTTCAGTTATACCCACCAAGATTTGAGATCTAATTCCTCTCCGTTGCCCTGTTTCTACTGATTTTCTAATCCTGCTTCTTCCGCTGCCGCCCGCCTGCCCCCGCCGATGGTGTCTGGTAAGTTGCTCTTCCTTTTTATTCTCCTATTGCTGCTGCTGATTTTGTGCTTGGGAATGGGAAATTCACCCTGATCGGCATAGCTCTAGCTTCTTTGGGTGCGCTATGCATACACGTATTATTTCCCTCTCAGCTGAAGTTTTCTTTATTTTGGGCATTCCAGTCTCTTGCTTGTCAAACGTAATTTCTGTCTTTCCTTATCTAGGTCTCCTCTGTTTCCATTTGCATGACCCTAATTGGATATCCGAGTTGTTAGAAACACTAGCTTCTTCTTTTCCCCTGAATTTGGTTGTTTTTAGGGTTCCATCTATCTTTCTATCCCTGCCCAGTTATGTTCCCTTCGATTGCGGTTTGCTTGCTAACTACTCCCCATCCTTTCTTTTTCCTTGATTCATCTTATCTGTACAGCTGCTTCTGCATCAGGCTAAGTTGGATGAATCCCCTTAGTCTGAAGCTCCACTTGGTCCCTTCACTTGCCTCTTTAGCTTTGCTGGTCCATCTCAGTCTCAAATTAGCAAAATTTGTGTTTATTCTGTGGTAGAGTTCATAGCTAGCTGTGATTTCTATCCAGTTACAACATTTGCACGAATCCTTCTTGTATGCTACACCAGTGGATTCTTGAGCTATTGTTATCTGCAATCATGGTGTATGTGCTTGTATGCACTCTCTCCGTATAAGTTTGGATGCTAAACATCTCGGCATTGAATGCTATGAAGCAGTGAAGGCTGAAAAATTAGCTTGAGGGATAGACATGAACTTTGTTTGTTAAGGAGACCGAGATGGTTTTCTGTTTAGGTTGCTGGCTTGATGTGGATGTTGTGCATCCAATGTTAAGGCTTTATTTTCAAAACAATGGAATTTGTATGCGAATTGAAACTCCTCATGTGCTACGGAAAATATCCATCAGACATTTATCAATATGCAATCTTCTCGTGCTCTGTAAAATCTATGTAATGGCATCCTTCTCCGCCAGTTCTGTTTGAAGTAGAATTGTCCGCTGATATGCCGCTTGGTGAAAAAAAAAACAATTGGGGGTGAAAGATGGACGAGGAAAGACCTATTATGATTACATAAATGCCTTCTCTAAGTGTCTTGATGTGCCAAATGTTAATTAGATTAGTGATTCCTCGTCGTAGCTTCATGGTCGGGTGTTTTTCTGAATCTGAACTACTCCATTTATAAAGTTGGATGCTAGGTCATGAAAAATTTGCCAACTTTTGCTTTCTGCTTCCAATCGAATGTCTTGGATCTGGTTGCAGATGACTGATGCATTTTCCAGCCCAACTATTGATCCAAGTTAAAGTTTGGTTCCTAAAAACACACTAGTTCATGGTCATCTAGAAGTGAGGTGTTTCTGTGCAATGGACCCCGTCGATGATGGGAACAACATGCACAACCAGAGCCTTGCCTCCAAGCAGCGACTGCGCTGGACTCATGAACTTCATGAGCGTTTTGTTGATGCTGTAGCACAACTTGGTGGGCCAGATAGTAAGTCTCTTCAGCCTTTATCTCTACAGTCCTTTTATATATTGGTTGTACTCCAGAATTTTCTTGAATTTGCATATTGTATGAATCATAGAAGCATACTCTATATGACCTCACACAATAGCTCTGTTGCTTTGGAGGAGTTAGGGTTTTGAAGGTCGTTTCTGCTTGTACCTTGCCGTACTCCTATAATTACTTATGTAGTTATGTTGGACGATTTCTCCAGGGGCTACTCCAAAAGGTGTTCTCAGGGTCATGGGTGTACAGGGCTTAACTATATATCATGTCAAGAGTCATTTACAGGTACATTAAACTTGGTCAGAATTTTATTCTCTCATCCTTTCTCTTGTTTCCTGTTTCATGAGGTAGGAGGGAGAAGGGAGAGGTTTCTTGTCTTAATTTGCCTGGTGTCTTATCTCTGTATCTTTTTTGTTGTTGTTGTTGCTGTCTTGTATCTCCTTTCTCCATCCAGAAATACCGACTTGCCAAGTACCTTCCAGACTCCTCTTCTGATGGTTAGTACATTGTTCATGTAGCTCTTAATTGTTGTTTGTAAAATGAGCTAGGTTCTGGTTCTCACGCAGACTTGTGCTTTGTGCTAGGGAAAAAAGCTGACAAGAAAGAAGCCGGGGAGATGCTTTCTAATTTAGATGGCTCATCGTAAGTGAAGTTGGCCACCTTCGGTCTCCTTTTCTGTCAGTTTCTGTGTTGCTGCTCACTTTTGTCTGTTCTGATGTACCTATTAATTTCTTTGTTTAGCTGGAGATGTGGCATGAAACTTACTATGAATTTTGTTTCCTTTTGTAGTGGAATGCAAATCACAGAAGCTCTCAAGCTGCAGATGGAGGTGCAAAAGCGACTTCATGAACAGCTAGAGGCAAGTTTCTTCCTCCTGGGCCCAAACACTATATTTGATTATTATGGTTTATTTTCTGATGTGGTAAATCTTTATTTGCTGGACTTCTTATATCACTCTGCATGAGTAATAAAAAGCTTGTTCCTTGCTTATGTATTATGATTTCTCATTTCATTTTGCTCTAGTAAACTATGTAAGATGCAATGTAGGACACAAGCGGTCAGAAAGGCTCCATTTTTGTGTGGAAATACATCCATTTTAGGCCAAGGGCCTTTTTGATATTAAGAAGCTACCCATAAGGTGTGCCAAACAAGGGTGAACCCTGGGATTTATAGGTCATTTGGTCTGCTGTCTTATCTTGATTCGAATAAGCTCTCTGCTCTAAACTACCTTAAAAATTTTGTTTGAAAAGCTTCAACTCTTACCCAACACGTGCTACATGCGTGTTTTTAACATGACAGGTGCAGCGGCAGCTGCAATTACGTATCGAGGCACAAGGGAAGTACTTGAAGAAGATAATAGAAGAGCAGCAGAAGCTGAGTGGAGTGCTTGCTGATGGACAACCACCTGGCTCTGGGGGGATTCTTCCACCAGCCCTAGGGTCATCAGCTGACTTAGAATCCGACAAGACCGATCCTACAACCCCTGTCCCAAGCGAGTCCCCGCTCCAGGACAAGGCCACAAAGGTCAAGAGCTTTTCGATCGCTGAACCACTCCAACAACAGCATCACCACCCGGAGCCAATGACCCCTGATTCTTGTGATGACATGGGCTCTCCAGCCGATGATAGTCCTACCGCCGAAAGGTCGTTGAAGAAGCAGCGTCTAAGCATGGGGCCAGGACAGTTTGGTAACAAACCGGATATGCTTTTCCCGCACCAGATACTGGAGTCTAGCTTGAACTCTTTCGCTCAGTCCCAAGCTCACCCTGTGTTTGCTACCAGTCGAGAGGCGTTTGATCCTTCAAATGGGCTATCGATTGGGATGGACAGTCAAATGGAGAAGATTTCAGGAGGGGATCTCTAGCGCTTGGATGGTGGGCTCTTTAGAATTAATTGACTTGGGGTCATTTTATTATCATCATCGTCATCCTGTCTTTTATGTAATTTGGGGAAGAAGAATACATGGTTGATTAATCAGGCTAGAAAATGGAAGATTAATATTAGCCAAGAGCCCAAAACAGACAAACAGACGAGTAAGTTTCTAAGGAAAAAGCAGCAGGCTGTTCATTTTATTGTTTTTCCCCCACTTCACCCTTTTCTCTTTTCTTAGTTTATTGTAGACTAGTCTGTTAATCCAATAACGCCTCTATACTCTGTTTGAGGAAATGCCTTGACATGAAAAAGGGGAAACAAAGTAACTACAAAATTCAATTGATGGTGGCCAACAAGAGAATACATGGCAATACTGCACCAGTAGAGTCAGACAGTCGGAACCAATAATATTTGGAGGAATCAATCAATTTTACAGTTATCCTCAGATCAGCAAAAGGATGGTGTTGAATTTAACAGAGATTGAGGGATCATACACACAACACAAGTAATGGGTACGGACAAGGTACAGAAAAGTAGTTGATCGAGTCAGGAAGAACGATGTCTCTGATGGCTTCCTTCGTATCTTCCGTAGAGAAGTGGTAAATGCCCTCAGACTCAGAGTACTCTACGTGAAGAAATGAAAAATATATCAGCAAAAGGGAAAATTAATGTGTTAATAATAACAATCAATCAATCATCCCTTCAACAAGTTCCTCCAATTGTGATTTCTGGGGGGGGGGACAATCTGTAGTGATCAGAAACTACTTGAGGCTGAGCATGGGAACAACATACAGAAGGGAAGCACCTCTTGACTGTTACCTGCAGTTCTATATTCGGCTGAAGATGCTTCATTACTACCGCCTAGAGATGAGCATCTACCCAACTCTCCATATTTATGGGAGCAGCATTCTTCGCTCTGCTCATTTGCCTTATCCTGTAAACATCATTCATATGAACATCAACTCCAGCCATCACCTTATAAAAAAAAAAAAAAAAAACTCCAGCCATCACAAAAACTGACGTAGAGTGTGTGATTCAAGCTAAACAAATATTCAGATAAGCACCAGCAAGTTCAATAGGTCGCAGATGGTCTTATCATCTGTTCTGTTGCCTACCGGTGCCTGCATTATCAACAAAAAACCAAATTGCAACTTCTTCGGATGTACACAGAAGGTAAACTCTGAATGGGGGATTTCCGCCAAATGCGGAGAAATGTCCGTACTACTGTATTAGTGCAGGAGCCACTTCACAAAGAACTTCAGTAAAAGGTTTTGCTGGTGGGATGTTGGCAGGAGCAGAAGATGAACTTGCACCATCAGTACAGGTAGAACGAATGCCTGTGATTATCTCATACAACAAACTCTAAGAAACAAAGAAGGAATTACCTATTAAGTTTCCATGTTTTGCAATCCACTATTAAATTCGTAACTTAGGGAATAAATTTCCCTAAGAGCTCTACAAGAATATTACTCATCCAGGCCAGCACCAATTTTCAAGTCTGAGAGAAGAGAGATTATGATATTTCTCAAGCTTCCTTGAGCAATCATTACTTTGAGGAGGATGAAGGATATTGAAGAAGAATATGGCAAACGAAATATAAAGGATCATTTGGATAGATTATTTAGGTGAGTTAGTTCGGCCCAAATATCATGTTGACTTTATAAAACTTAAACGAGTTATTTTGGGAACTAGTTATTTGTAAATAATGCAAAATACATTATTTGAAATAACACCCTATCCCCTGATATTTAAGAATAACACGTTGCGTGCTATTTTCTTCCCACTTTGCCCATTTATGTTTCTTCTTCTCCGTCGTCTCTTTTTCTCTTTCCTTTTCAACTCATTCTTCTTGAACTCTCAAATGGAATCTCCTCTTCTTCTCTTTCTTTTTCAAGATCAAATGGATGTTCCAACGAAAATCTCTGATTTTTTCCCTCCAATCCGATCTCTTTCTCTCACCAAGTGGTTTTGATTTTGTTAACAAAGGTTAGCAGTTCAGCGATGAAAAAAGGCGGCAGTGGGTTTAGCTTAGCGGCGACGAAGGAGGCGAATCGTCGGTCTTTAGCGACAAGGTATAAGATTCCGAAGCACCTCTTGACTGTTACCTGCAGTTCTACATTCTGCTGAAGATTTCTTCATCACTACCATCTAAGAGATGAAATAAGAAAATTTGTACTTTGTGAAAATATTAATATTTTAAATGAAAATATGTCGTTTGGGAGACGATGTGGCGGGTTGACGGTTACTAATACCCAAAAAAGTTAACCCGACCGACCATGTACAAACTAGTTTATCATCAAATAAAAATAAATGGATAAATTGCAAGGTTAGTCACTGAAATTACTAAAAACGTTAACGTTTGGTTACTTAAAATATTTAATTTCATTCGTGGTCCCTAAAATTAGTTAAATATTTCAAATTTGGTCACTCTTAATCCAACTGTGTTAACTTTTGCTTATGTGTTAGTCAACTCTTATAATTGACTATTAAATATGTAACATAACATTTAAAATAATAAAATATATAAAATCTAATTTCTTGAAATTTCCACCCCACTTCCAACTATTGAAAAATATAATTAATTAATTTTTTATAATCCAACAAAGTCCTCCCTTGCATTTCCCCGCCGCTTCTCAATCTCTATTCTCACAGTCACTATCGTGTCCCCTAACTAGTGAAGATTGAACAAGTTCTCTCTCTCCTCCCAGCTTGTAGTCGTCGTTCACTCTTTCGCCGGCAAGATCGTCACCGAGTCTTCCACATCTCTAGTCGTCGCCACTCATTCCTTTTTCCGACAAAATATCATTTCCTGCTCACTCCTTTGCCCGCGAGATTAGGGAAAACGTAACGACAATCGAGACTGTATACGTGTCGTGACTGTCAGAATCACGAGGGGAGCGGAGCTCGAAAGTCTTTTTCATCTTCCCGTTGGTGGCCTCGCACCCTACGTAGTAGAATTTCTCCTCGACGAGTTTGCGATTGCAAGAAGAGGAAGGGAAATCGAGAGAAGCGGAGGCAGCAAGAGCGCCTGAAATTGTGGAATCTTTTGTGCGAGGATGCAGGTTAAGACCTTGATCGTACATCGGATCAATGGCGTTAAGTCTGGGAACCCCAAATCTAATCGATTAAGAAAGTCTCTGTCGAGGACAGGTGGGACGAGATCCGGATTGCCGTCCGGGTTTCTGAGGTCGTCGTAGATGCCATAATCATAGATTCGTTCTCCTTTCTGACACTGTCTCTAACCATTACCTTGGATTAGTTTCAGCTCCTCCTCTTAGTACTTGGTCAGTCCGTCTGGAGTCTCTGACGACAAGTACGACTGCTACGACGACCATAGATTTTCAGTGACTAGAAGTTAACTTTTATCTTTTTAATAGTTAGACATGAAGTGAAAATTTAAAATATTAAATTTATTATTTTGTAATTTCCATGTTACAATTTTAACGGTTATTTATAAGAAATTACCTATGGAGTTGGAATAAGGTAAGAATCAGTTGACTGGAGGAGGGGCTTAACTGTCATTGCAAGCCTACGATTGAAATTTCAAAATGATGGCGCTTCGAGTTTTGCTCCAAAGCAGAAATTCCCCGCTCTCCCTCCACGCCTCTAAAAAAAAGGAAGAAAAAACTATACCTATGTTAAATATAATTCTCACAGCAGTCAGCGTCCCAGTCTCCCAGACACCAACTCCCTTACTCAGTCCCTCCTTTTCTCCCCCAAATTTCGCAAACCCTAAACTATCCCCCCCCCCCCCAGGCTAACGTGATCCAGCTCCCTTGCGATGGCAACGGCCATTGCATGGTCTGCAACGCCAAGCCACTTGCCGAAGAGACCCTGAGTTGCTCCACCTGTGCTGCACCATGGCATGTCCCTTGCCTGTTTTCCAAGCCAGAATCCATGGCTTCCGTCCTCCAGTGGCAGTGTCCGGACTGCAACTTCGATGCCCCGGTTGCTGCTCCGGTCTCCTCCGGTAACGAGCTGGTGAACGCGATCAGAGCGATTGAGGCTGATTCGACGCTGACGGAGCAGGAGAAGGCTCGGAAGAGGCAGGAGCTACTCGGCGGGAAGAAGGTTGACCAGGAGGGCGATGAAGATGATGATAACGAGGAAGAAGGCGGAGGTTCTGGCAATACAGGGAAAGGGGAGAAGAGTGCTGAGATGGATGCGCTGAAACTGCTCGGCGAGAGCTTTAATTGCTCCTTTTGCATGCAGCTGCCTGAGAGGCCTGTCACTGTGAGTTTGAATCTTCTCCTATACCTTCACCTTTAGTCTCGCTTATTGTTGACCTCTTCCTTATATCGTGCTGTTATTTTTCTGGATTGCTCTGTCGCTCTTGACTGATCTGCATTTGCTAATCCGACTCGAGACCTCTTGTTAAGCCAAAAGAAATCCATATCCCGAGTGTTCCGCCATTGATGCTTAAAGTTTCTTCTGGACACCACCGCATTCTTCTGTTTGTGCAAATTTACCCTTACGCAAGCTCTTCCCGTAGAGTTGTTCCTTTGCATATTGTTTCTGTTTGGCTGTGGCAGCTCTATAGCTGATGACCATTGGATCCCTGAAATTAAAAACGCTAAAGCAGTAGATCATATTAACTGAAGAGTTGAACAAATTAATAAAATCTGGGTTTGCATTTCCCTATTCTGCGCCAAAAGTGTTAGCTAAGAGCAGTTATGATATTGAAACCCCAATCCCCTAGTCTCTAGCATATATTAATTGTTTCCCCTCATTTCTCTACCTGCAGACACCTTGCGGCCACAACTTCTGCTTGAAATGCTTCCAGAAATGGACGGGGCAGCAAAGGAAAACCACCTGTGCCAAGTGTCGTGCCAATATACCCCGTAAGATGGCAGCTCAGCCCCGCATCAACTCTGCCCTTGTCGCAGCTATCCGTATGGCTAGGGTCTCAAAATCCATTTCTGATGGAGCGCCAGCTAAGGTGTATCATTTTGTGCACAACCAAAACAGGCCTGACAAAGCTTATAGGACCGAGAGGGCTAAGAAGACTGGCAAGGCCAATGCTGCTAGTGGCAAGATTTTTGTGACGGTGCCTCCGGATCATTTGGGTCCTATCCCTGCTGAGAATGATCCAGAGAGAAATCAGGGTGTTCTTGTAGGGGAGTGCTGGGAGGATAGAATGGAATGCAGGCAATGGGGTGCCCATCGTCCTCATGTTTCGGGTATCCATGGGCAAGCTGAGTTCGGGGCACAATCTGTTGCACTCTCTGGAGGGTATCAAGATGATGAAGATCACGGTGAATGGTTTCTGTACACGGGAAGGTTTGTTTTTTTCCCCCTGGATTTTTGCAAGCTCTTATGATTCCACTTTGAAAAGATTTTGATGCATATATACAAATTCTAGGGTCTCCTAAATTTTTGATTGATGTGTTGTATCATGTATGAATTGCTCGTGTTTGGGCAGTGGAGGGAGGGATCTTAGTGGAAACAAGAGGACCAACAAAGACCAGTCGTCCGACCAGAAGTTTGAAGCTGCGAATCAGTCTCTTAGACTTAGCTGCATAAAAGGATATCCTGTGCGAGTTGTGAGGTAAAGACCTATCCACCTTTCCATACACATCGATGCCTTTGTGTTTGTTTGATGCCCCTTCAACTGTTAGCCGCAACTGGCAGGTGTCTCTATGTTGAAACCAAGAAATGTGCTTCACATGTTTGAAGTGATCAAAGCCACTATGTCATGTTGCAGCAGCATGGTTGATGGCTAATTTAGTCTCCCTTATAAGATTCCTGGTTTCCCTTTATAGCGGTGTAATGTTAACATTCTACTTGTGAGGATTCTTTACGTTATGCTCTAAGGCTAGCTCTTTTCAGTTTGCTAAATAATACAGTTCCCATGAGCAGGTCGCATAAGGAAAAACGCTCAAATTACGCGCCAGAGGCTGGAGTACGCTATGATGGCATCTATAGGGTTGAGAAATGCTGGAGGAAAGTTGGAATCCAGGTGAGTCATACATTATTTATGCTTAGTGCAACTAACGAGAGCCACACCTTTGAATAGTTGTGCTAATACATTCGCAACTGCTCCTCAGGGTTTTCAAGTATGTAGGTATTTGTTCATTAGATGTGACAATGAGCCTGCACCATGGACAAGGTATAAACTCAGTTGCAGCTGCTGCACTTGTTTCAGTACATACGGTTCCCTCTATGACCAAAAGCTACAACTTTGTTTCCTGTGCTACAGTGATGAGCACGGTGACAGGCCTAGACCATTGCCTAACATCCCAGAGTTGAAGAAGGCCAAAGATTTGACGGAGAGGAAAGATGACCCAGCCTGGGACTTTGACGTGAGTGCAGTGAAAGAGCATTGATTTGTCTTCATGTTCAATGAAACATATGATCTGAACTGCTTATTTTCCGGTCGCAGGAAAAAACTAGCCGTTGGACATGGAAGAAACCTCCACCGCTTAGCAGAATGAAAGTGGACCCTGCGGATCCTACTCAGATCAAGAGGGCAAGGAAAGCTATTAAGGAGGCACAGACTCAGAGTGTTGCAGAAAGGCTTCTGAAAGGTTGGAGGATCCTCTTTTTATCATGTACTTTAACGTGGTTCATTGTGCCTTCTGCTGATCAGCTTTTGACCAATTGCAGAGTTCAACTGCCTCATCTGTAAGCAAGTGATGAAGGAGCCAGTCACTACACCGTGCACCCACAACTTCTGCAAGGACTGCCTGGAGAAGAAATTCCCGAACAAGCAGTTCACCGTGGAGAGAAGCAGAGCAGGCCGTGCTCTGCGTGCTAAGAAGAATGAGCTGAATTGCCCTTGTTGCCCAACTGACATTTCTGACTTCCTCCAGGACATGAAGGTTTGCATCCTGGTGCTTATACAAAGCATGATCATCCTTGCCTGCTTTCTCTCTCCTGATTTCTGTGTCTTGACTGAAAAACAGATTAACAGCGAAGTGATGGCAGTGATCGAGAAGCTTCAAGCTCAGCTTGAAGAAGCAAAAGCTGTGGCTGTGGCTGCTGCTACTGCTAGTGAATCTGGGGAGGAGAATCCTGAAGCAGAATCAGAAGCAAAAGATTCAGAATCTGAGGGACCCAAAAAGAGGCAGAAAGTTGACGGGAGTGATTCACCCTCCAGCCCTCTTCATATTCAATAGCCTCCCAACAGTGGCTAGTAATCAGTAAGGAAGAGAAGTGCGCAGTAGATTCCCAGGAGCAAAAATGGCCTGAGTTTCAAATGGAACTGTAATTTTGCACCCCCCCCAATGTTGGGTAGTCCTGCGGTCGGATAGTTCTCTTTTAACTGGGAGCTGGAAATCTCTGTTCTTACGTTTTCATCTCAAGTCAACACAGTAAATATCTATGATGTCCAGCTTCTTGTCGTCCAACTGCTATAAGTGAATTCATCTGAACGAAGCTCCAACCATGTATGCTCTCCATATTATGGCAAACTATAACCATAATGACAATCAATTAAGGCCCTTCAACAACTCGACAAGACTCTTTTGACTCTTAACTAAAACGGAAGGACTCAAAAGCATAGTAAACCAGACGACAACATTCCACTTTATTGACACATACAAACTTGAAATGTTGAGACTTGGCAGCAAACAGAATCCTTCTCTTGATAGAGAGATATTGTCCCTATAATTTATAGATGTATCTTCAAAGTCTAAACGCAAGAATCAACTTGTATTGAAGAAATTCGGGAAAATCAACTTATTCATTATGCATCATATAAGTTGCGATTCTAGAGCTAGCGCAGGAGCCAGGAATGGTTACATGAATACAAAATTACTAATACAACAACAAAGGAGATCTCAAGCAGTTGCAACTTGCAAAGGATATTATTATACAACGAAACTACATGGTTCTTTTAGCTTGCTGCGTATCACTCCAATGTGAGACGATGCAGCTTATAGACAAACATTCTCTGAGAACTTCAGTTTATTTTCTTAATGAATGATGGTAGTAAAGTAAACACAAACAAAATCAAAGCGATCAAGCAAGCTATAGAGTAAATATAAACAGCCTCCACATTTGTGCTCAAGACAGCAGCAATACATGCATGCCACTTTGCTTCTTCAAGCAGTAGTCCGCTTTTCTTAATGAATGATGGTAGTAAAGTAAACACAAACAAGATCAAAGCGATCAAGCAAGCTATAGAGTAAATATAAACAGCCTCCACATTTGTGCTCAAGACAGCAGCAATACATGCATGCCACTTTGCTTCTTCAAGCAGTAGTCCGCTTTTGGTTAGAAACGGGCCGATGAAACTGGATTATTTGGCCTCGCACACTGCACTCCTCCATCTGATTAGAAGCAATAATTCATGTCACACAGCTGACAAGAGGATGAGAAACCAAAGTAATTTACTTGCCAAGATGTCAAGTAGTATAGAGTATTAGAGTTAGAGAAAAGCCCATGCAGGCATGTCATAGTAGCGGCAAGCGGTTGCAGTCGTGAGAAGCAAACCTGTGATTTATGCATCAGAGACAAGAGACCTCCACATTCTTGAACGCGGGCTGTTTCTCCTCCATTCACCCTAGCTAATTCTGATACCAGTGTTTCAGTTTCTGCAGCCTGCATTGCCAAATTCAAAGCATCATATTGGCTATATTATTTGATGACAGATCACTTTAGAAAGAACTACATATACAAGCTGCTACCCACCTTAGCCATAAATCTTTCTATGGTGGAAGCAATCGATTCCATCAACTTCCCTGAAGTCTTCAATGCCTCTGCTAACTCTCTTGTATCAACCTGCGGTAGATAATTTCTCAGCTTGGTGCTAAAAAATTAACTAGTTTTGTGCTTTACTTAACTTGAATACGAGGTTGAGGAACTTTAGAAAAAGCAACGTACCGTAACATTCCCACCTACTGGAAGTTGGATTGATGAGTTTACTAAAGCTTGAGTTGTCTCCGATAAAGAATCCTTATATTCTCCTTCTATTGTAATCCATTCATCCAGATATGGCATCTATGGACAAGATAATGGTGATGATTAGGACAACATCCCATTCTTAGGTACAAACCTACTAGGATATTATGCAGTTCAAAACAGTTGTTCAACAACTGGTTAGTAAGTTCATTGCAGAATCTGAATGCAATGACTTGACACGAAATTTGAGCTACTGAACCATGTAGCTACCTGAGAAGGAGAATAAATAACACTAACACCTTTATATCACTGTTCTATATCCTCCACCAACTAGATTAATGAAGAAATCTGAGACATTTATGGTGAGCTATATATTACTATCATGCAGCATCCGCAAGAAGAATTTCGTATAATCTATCAAGGCAAAGGCAAGGTTTGCGATCAGCGGAGAAACTGTTCTATGGCAGCCCGCGATCCCAGTCCAAAAATGTGATAGTTCTTATGTTGATTCTAATTTCTAAGTCTCTGCCTTGAACTTGTGACATGTTGGGGCCGACGACATGTTATTCAAGAAAGATTGTAGCTGAGACAAGCATAGAATAGGATAGACCAGGGCACATCATTTTTTTTTTAATATAATGATGATGAACTTGATTGATAAAAGAAAGGAAACGGAGTTCAAGCACCACAAGTAGTGGGCAAAGGAAGAACAACAAAACAGAAAACTCAAGACAAAGACAGTGCAGCTAGAATAAGATGAGTCCGGCAAACCAAACGGACAATGAAGGCAAATAGACTTACCTGACTCTCCAAGACTGTTGCTAGAGTTGCCATTTGCTGCAAACGGGCAAGTTCACTTCTTTTCTTTGTCACCGACTCATTTAACTCCGATATCTTGCAACCAAGGGAATACAACTTCATCTGAAATGGGAAATTGACATTGGTAAAACAAGGGTGAGTACCAAACAATGGCATGTGAAAGCTGATGATGCATGTGGTTGAATTGGTTCTCAATCAAAGCCAAAAGCTGACCTCGGCTTCTCTACTCTGGGCCTGCGAAGAAGACTCGGCTTTGGCATTGGCGTATCTCCACTGCAAGTAACGGTTGTGAATCATTTTCAGAGAGTGAAAGTCCTCTTGCTGACCAGAGGCTTTTCTTCCCCTTCTCGAAGCATTAGCAACGGTTAGGACCTTGGTGCGAGGAACTGGAGGCAGAGCAACACCCCCAATCTTGAGGGAGTGACCTAATTGCTGTTTCGCCGATTTCTCTGAGCCCCTTAACGAGTGAAAGAAGGAAGAGTTTTCAGAGGAAGATCGTTGCAAATCCAGAGAGCGGGAACAAGGCGAAGCAGAGAATTTCGAAGATGTTGTTGCTGAAGTTGTTGTATCTGAAGAAACACTCGCGGCGTCATCATCCGGCCTGGAGAGTGTGTTCACATTTCTCTCCGTCAGTAATCTACTGGAGACGGTGGCCCGCACAGGCATGGAAGAGCGAAGGTCCGGAAGAGACCGTGCCGAGTTGCTCCTCGAAATGTTGCTACTACGGCTGTCGCCGGAACTATACTCGCTTGGGCCGCAATTGAGATTGGCAGAGAGATTAACCGAGGATGACGATGACATCCCGGTCGAGGAATGAAGCAATTTGGCGGCAGTCGAGTGAGTAAGATTCGTGGAGGCGGCCACGGCAGTGTTGCAGGAACGATGATGCGGCAACAGTCTCGATGTGGGAGGAGCGGTTACCATGGGAGTGTCGGGGCGGCGGTGGTGAGATCGAGATTCCTGCCTCTCGCCGTTTGCATTTTCCTTGAAAAGTTTGACGATGGCGCGGTGGTTCTGAGGATGCATCCTCTGAGGACTGCAGGCGGCGACTGATGAAGAAGTTGAGTTGTCGGCGGAGGAATCCTTATCCAATTCAAGATGGCGGCGTTGCTTCTGAACGGAGCTGGATCTCTGATGCTGCTGCGGGAGAGGGGAGAAGGAAGAGGAGGAGGTCGCCACGGGAGTCATGAACCTAGAACTGACCTCCCTCACTCTCGGTCTCCGTAGAGGAGGCGGCGGATTCGTAGGAGCTTCGACGGCGGTGCTGTGGTCTTCTCCCATTCTTGAATCACGAAAAATCAATTTCGGTAAGTGGAATCAGCACCTTACTCGTTACCTAGCCTGCGGAGATCACCAGCGCGGTGCCGAGAGAGAAAAAATGGGCGCTCGCTTCGTGGGCTTGTGATGTGATGTCAAGTGGAGGAGGTAAGGAAGAAAAATACAAAACCAAGAAAAGGAAACAGAGAGAATGAGAGCAAGAGAGAGAAAAAGTAGCCGTTATTTGTAACGGTTATATTTTGGTCTTATTTTCATAATAATTTTATGGGTTAATATGACTTTCATCCCTATGTTTTGGGAAAAAATCCAAAAGTACCACTGTTTAAAAAAAAAATTCCAAAAATACCACTCAATCCCAAAAAATTCCAAAAATACCACCATTTTTCAAAAACCGCCACCCCACCCAGCGGTTTGGTCGAAAACCGCTTGTCGGGGGCGCGGTTTTGGACCAAACCGCGGGCCTAGGGGGCGGTTATAAAAAAAAAAAAAAATTGGACCAAAACCGCTGGGTGGGGTGGCGGTTTGGCCCAAAACCGCCACCCCAACCAGCGGTTTGGTCCAAAAATTCGGTCGAAACTTCAAACGAACGTAACTTTGCACTCGGGTATCCGATCGTAGCGATTCTTTTTTTCATTTCGCATAACTTTTCAAGATCTACAACTTTTACTAGGATGAAATTTTCAAAACAGGAACTATTTGTGGATATACGGGACCTTGAGAATAACTTTACCTTTACTTTTCAGAAATCCATGTACATTTTGAAATTATGATTATATTAAAAGTTGTAGATCTTGAAAAGTTATGAGGAATAAAAAAAAATTCATGACATTCGGATTTTGGAGCACAAAGTTATGGCCGCCCAAAGTTTGACGAAATAAAAAAAATGCCGTTCGGGGTGGCAAATGACGTTTTTTCGAGACGAAGACGGAACCCGACTGTTTGAGACTTGCAAGATCTCAAAAAGTGATTCGGATTCAAAAAATGGAGGCCGCAAACTTTTTGAGATCTTGCAAGCCGCAAACCGCCGGGTCTCGCCTTTCGTCAAACTTTGGGCGGCCATAACTTTGTGCTCCAAACTCCGAATGTTATGAACTTTTTTTTGATTCCGCATAACTTTTCAAGATCTACAACTTTTAATATAATCATAATTTCAAAATGTACATGGATTTCTGAAAAGTAAAGGTAAAGTTATTCTCAAGGTCCCGTATATCCACAAATAGTTCCTGTTTTGAAAATTTCATCCTAGTAAAAGTTGTAGATCTTGAAAAGTTATGCGAAATGAAAAAAAAAATCGCTACGATCGGATACCCGAGTTCAAAGTTACGTTCGTTTGAAGTTTCGACCGAACTTTTGGACCAAACCGCTGGTTGGGGTGGCGGTTTTGGGCCAAACCGCCACCCCACCCAGCGGTTTTGGTCCAATTTTTTTTTTTTTTTATAACCGCCCCCTAGGCCCGCGGTTTGGTCCAAAACCGCGCCCCCGACAAGCGGTTTTCGACCAAACCGCTGGG